TTTTATTTTTGGTCTTTTTGAGACAGGGTTTCCCTGCAGCCCCAGCTGTCCTGGAACTTACTATGGAGACCAGGCTGTCCTTGAACTCACAGAGATCCGCCTGCCTCTGCCTCCGGAGTGCTGGGGTTAAAGGCGCGCGTCACCGCCACCACGCCCGGCCCTCAAATTTATTTCTTAATTTATGTGTATGAGTGTAGTGCTGCGTACGTAGGTGCACCAGTGTTGTGCAATGCCTGTGGAGGTCAGAAGAGGGCTCGGATCCACTGGAACCGGGGGTCCTCTTAGAGCACCCAATGCTGTTCACCGCGGAGCTTCTCTCCAGCCCCTATTGTAGCTTTGATGAGACTGGACCTTCCTTCCTCCCAGCTCTACTGGGACTCCCTAACGTCCACAGCCACAAGGCCCAGTCCATTCCTTTCCTCTCCACTGGCCCCTGGTGGTCTGATCTAACTGCCCCCCCCCCCCCCCCCCCCCCCGTCAGTTTCTGAACCCTCATGGATCTTCTTTTCCTCCCTGGTCTCCCAACGTCCCAGAAAAGTTCAAACTGCTGGGGGTCACAGACCCAAAATGGTAAATGTGGGCTCCCACCCTGCAAAACCCAGAAAGCATCCAGAAAGACCCAGAAGACATAGACAGGGATGGAGCCCTGGAAGGGCGCATGGATCCCTGTGGGCAAAAGCAGGGAGGCCAAATTTGGTCTGGTGGGATTCAGAGACCCCCAGAGAAGGTACTTTGGGTGAGGAGAGGAATGGGGCTGCTGGAGAGAGCCAGTGAGGGGTGTCACCAGAAACTGCATTAGGAACCAGGTCTGGATTTAAAATCAAGAGGCTCTGGGTTCAAATTCAACCTCGGCCAGTGAAATGCGTCAACACTGGGTCCCTCAGCTTCTCAAATAACCCTTCATGTGCCTTCCTAAGGGTTCCCAGGGAGCCGCAGTCATAGTCCATCATAAATCAAGGCAGATAAGTGTTTCATAGCCAAACCTGAAATGGTCTGGTGAGATGGCTCAGTGACTAAAGGGGCTTTCAGTCAAGCCTGATAGCCTGAGTTCAATCCCCAGAACTCACATGGTAGGAGAGAACTGAGTCCACAAAGTTGTCCTCTGACTGCCACATATATTCCATGGCATGTACACACACACACACAAATAACTCATGTAGAATTTTTTTTTTTAATTTTGAGACAGGGTCTCCCTGTAGCCTGGAACTCACTATGTAGCCCAGGCTGCCCTCAGTCTCACAGAGATCCACCTGCTCCTGCCTCGCAAGTCCTGGGGGTAAATGCATGTGCCACCATGCCTACCTAAAAATGATTAAAGATTCTTTTAAATTTACGTTTATTTTATGACTATGAGTGTTCTGCCTGCATGTGTGTAAGTGCACCTGTGTCATGCAGTGCCCAGGGAGGCCAAAAGAGGGCGTCAGGTCTCCTGGAACTGGAGTTATGGATGGTTGTTAGCCGCCATGTGGGTACTGGGAACAGAACCTGGGTCCTCTGCTAGAGCAGCCAGTGCTCAGTACACTTATCCCCTAAGTGGTATTTTATGACTATGAGTGTTCTGCCTGCATGTGTGTAAGTGCACCTGTGTCATGCAGTGCCCAGGGAGGCCAAAAGAGGGCGTCAGGTCTCCTGGAACTGGAGTTATGGATGGTTGTTAGCCGCCATGTGGGTACTGGGAACAGAACCTGGGTCCTCTGCTAGAGCAGCCAGTGCTCAGTACACTTATCCCCTAAGTGGTCTCCTCAGCCCCTAAAAATAATTTTAAATATTTTATTTATTTATTTATTTATTTATTTATTTATTTATTT